TAGGGCGCAAATGTGCCTAGCCCGGGCCCTGTATGTATGTGTGCACACATTTAAGTGTAATGTTTTTAAATTTTCACTGAATACTTTGGTATAAAGATATTGCTAGCCACTCATTGTCACTCACACATTGTCAGACATTTTCACTATGTCGAAACTTCATCAAACTTAAATACATATACACTTACAAACATAGTGTAAAGCGCCAAATAAGCGTCCAGAGACATTCATTCACAAATAGGACTGAAATATCATACTAGTCGAATTTTCACTTGAAGTGTCCCATCCTAGAAAATTATTACCCGTGTTCATCACTAGCTGAATAAGTCGGTCAAACGGGTAACATACTTTACAAATGCCAGTCACATACATTTATTCAATATGAATCCTTACCCACATTTATTGAAGAGCCATTTGATGCCTAATTTTATATAGACGTATTTACATATTTATGAAGTCAGCCGCAAAATTTGCATACGCAGATCAATTTCAAATTATTAAAAGAATTCCAAAACCATGTCAGCCTTATCAACTTTTTCTTTTAAACCCTTTTCTCTCCTGATCTTCATTTTTACATTGACAAAAAGTCAGGCTGACAATACACCAAGCCGTCTTAATTCTGTCCTTGACATAGTTTCACATTGTAATCTCGTCGTTACATTCGCCACAAATAAAACCGATTTGATTCCTAGTCATCCATCTCTAATTTACGTGGAAAACTTTTTACCCACAACGGAATACGGATCGTTCGACATGACCAAAAAGTTCCTATTCACAAAGGTATCATTCATTCATCGTCGCCAGGTTGAAAAGTTCTGTTGGACGTACGTCTTTCCGGATATTGGGATAAAATTTTCCCTCGACAAGTTCTCTATTTCAGTACTGTTTCCGCCTGTTGCGAATTCTCCTTACCCAATACAAATTATTTGGCTCGTTGCATCTGGCCAGGAAAGACGAGCTATCTATACAAAGTTGCTCATCTTAGACGTTACGGTGCTGGGAAGTCGAGAATTTTACTTTGCTCAACAAGGTTTGAAATCTAGGCTGCGATTCTACCATTCAAACATGTACTACCCACGGGGGTCCAGATCGAATTTCTCAGTTTTGGAAAATTTTCAATTTTTTCCCGAAATAAATTGCAACCCAAAGTCTAAAAGGAAATGTTATCAACAAATCCAAGATGCATCAGATCAAGTAGGAATTAGCTTCAACAAATATGCCTGGGTTAATTTGAATTGGGTATACTATGAAAAATTTGAATACACTTTTACCCATGCATTCATTAAAATGCAGAAGGAACACTTTCAGCTTAACCCGAGCCCGGATTGGATTCAAGCAGCGAATCAGTCGGAATCGTTTAGAGACTTTATTGCATACACTATTCTGTCAGAAGCACTGTATAATATGTCATTCCCGGTAAAAGTGTATGAAAAAAGCAAGTATTTTTTCGTTGGAAACGGACGCATGTTTTTGTCCAGGACTCATCAAGTCGTACTTACCGGAAGTCAGTCTTACAGTTTTTTATCGTGCTACGGAATACAAAAGGAGAACTCGTATAGGGCATTCACCGACCCGTTTGACAAGTATGTCTGGTTCTGTATTATAACCGTAGTGGTTATATTTTCTTTGGTAAGAGGTCTGATAACTTGGCCGGTGCATACTCTCGACGTGAGTATTCTTTCTGTAGCCGTAATTCTGGAAATATCGGTAACCTCAAATATTAACAAGACCTTTCCCACACGACTAAAATATATTTTCTGGACTTGGATATACTGCGGTTTAATATTGACTACAGTTTATAAAACCATCTTCACAACGGAAGTGATCCTACCGTATAGGCGAAATCCAGCATGGACTTATGTCTACGATCCAGTGTTGTAGTAATTAATTACAAAAGTAATTAATTACGTAATTAATTACAAGAAAAATCGAGAAAGTAATTAGTAATTAGACTTTAATTACTTTGTGGCAATGTAATTGTAATTAGTAATTAATTACTTCGCTTCAATTGAGTAACAAAGTAATTAATTACTTTGAGTAATTAATTACTTGATTGCTTGGAATTAGAATGCATATTAGCAAAATCGTGATTTGCAAGATCATTTTTAGACGATCGTGAAGATTAATTTTGCTTTTATTACTCTCCCAGTATCAATTATTCATTGTCTTTTAATTTGATTTGTTGGAATATATATACTTAGGATTAGATTAATTTTAGAAGGTTAATTGCAGTTCTTTAGTATATTGCCGCTCTTAGAAATATAGTATTAAAATATTACCAAGCGGTATTCATATGTGACTCTACCAAAGTGGTAGTGGTTAGTAATGCAGTGTAGTAATACCTCGGTATTAAAGTTTTACCATATCGGTAACAAATTTTTACCGATCGGTAAAAATAGACCGGTGTCGACCTGTATACTTTTAAGACCAAGCGGTAGCAACTTTGACACCAGGAAATTAATACCTGCGTGACTATACCATACTTTTAAATTTGTGCCGTCATGATTATATAAAAAATGTAATTAATTTGTAATTAAGTAATTAATTACTTTAATTAATTACTACTGAAGTATTTGTAATTGTAATTAATTACTTGACTGATGTAATTAGTAATTGAGTAATTAATTACTTTCTCTCGTCAAATGTAATTAAGTAATTAGTAATTAATTACAAATTCAAGTAATTAAGCAACACTGCTACGATCTGTACGACCAAGGATTTCAATTCTTTTTTCCCATAAACCCTGACGTACCGCGATTTTATGACTTGTACACCAACGGAACTCAGCTCGATACGTTTTTTTCTTTAGATTTATCTACGGGAACCACAAGTGCGGCGAATTATAAAGGTAACCTTTCACGCTTGTTGGGTTACAAAAGATTCGCCACAGCACTATTAGATAGTGACCTTGAGTCTGGCACGGTGGCTTCGTCTACGGGCAAAAATATGACCCGAATTTGGAGATATTTGCATTACAAGTGGCCTTCTCACTTATATCCAAATTTATCGCGATGTGCCGATAAGTTTGCTTATTTAGACCTAACGGAAAACATTAAGAGTATAATTCCATTCTTAAGTGATAACGTGGATGGAACAGTCTTCATGGAGGGAGCTGAAGGCGATTTCTTTCGAGGATGGACCACTATCGAAATCCGTTCTACGCCAAGGAAGAATTTTGTACTTGACAGGGTAAAATGGATCCTGGTTTCGGGAATATACGTATTTTTTAATTTATCAATAGCTAAACTAACTTGTTGTTCGCTCGCAACAATTGGTGAGTTACTTTCGGGGAGGGGACAAAGAAAAATTGCTTCACATTCTTCATACTCTTGACATATTTTGGAAAAATGACTATTTACTAGATTTGAAATTTCTTTGGGAGATAAATTCGAATAATTGTCAATTGCCATTATTTTGATGAATGCTGAGGGGGAGCTTACACCACAAATCCTATTAACATAATAGTACCATTCTGTACAATTCATACTAAATATCTTATCACTAATTGTTTCCCTGACCTTACTTTTAGCTAATTTAACCTGCATCTTAATTGCATTACTTAATATGTACCAATCCGAATTATTAGCATTTCTCAGCTTATTTTTTTGCTTAATTAACTTTTTAATTTGTGGTGTTAACCAAAGAGGATCCACCTCACTAACCAACTTATTGTAAGGAACCGAAACAGCATTGAACGCATTCATCAATCTCCTATTAAATAACTCTACTTGTCCATTTACGTCAAGGCTAACTAACCCATTACTTAACTCAGATATATTAATCAAATTAATTTCATTAACAAATTGTTCCTCAATTGAATCTATAGTTGGCCTACAAGAAATAATTTGTCGAGGTTTTTTCCAGTTAATAATATTTACAGGAATGAGTGAAATGCAACAGTGCACTCTATTTTGTAAAGTATTGATTAACGGGGGATTAATAAATTAAACATTTAAACATTTGAGCAATATCCACGGGTAATCGGGGTAGTCGGGGTTTTCGAATTTTATAAAGTGTGGTAACATAGCTTTACTAGCAATTCTAGAGTTAATTAGTTATGCAAATTAAATTAATAAGCGGCTTTGTTGACAAAAAGCCGTTTTTTCAAATCTAATGCACGAGACACAGACTCAGTTTACCCCAATAACCCCGGCTACCCGCAAAACCAAGGTAAAACCCCTGGGTATGGGTTTTCAATAGCAAAACCCCTTTGTTTTCCTTACCCTGCTTATAATGGCAAAACGCAAAAATCCCACACTTGCATAAGGTAATAGTGAATCCGTGATGAAAAGAGTGTACTCTCGATTTATTCGGCGACATCATAAAGTTTAATAATCTCAAATTAACCTCGATTTTATTATAGAAAGTTATAAATGTCGGTTAGGAATCCGCGTTAGAATTATTAAATCAAATGTCCGAAATTAGGCCAAATTATGACAATTAAAATTCCTTCGTGCAAACTTTATGATTCTAATCCTTCTGAGGTGCTGAAATCCGAACTGTTAAAATATCTGCACTTGCCACATGTCAGAAACTGTTCCAAGTTATGATAATTAAATGAAACTCCCTTCATATAAATTTTATTATCTTACGCTTGATCCTTCCGACGTGCTGAAATGTGACCTTGCTTGGAAATGAATGAATGTTACCGACAAGCCGACAATTTCATTTATATGAGAATGACTTATGTATTTGTTTGAAAGTAAGTAGTTTAGCCACGAATATCAGAACATGGACTAACGATCACAAATAAATTGCGTGGTTGATAAGTTACGTAATGACAATATCTTTGTCGGGTTGAAGTTAGCATGTATTCTAACATTTCCTACATACATAAATCCGAAATGATTAGGTTCATACATAATTAAATACTTCCAATAAATATTTGTTCACCGCGACTTATAAGAAATACTTAATTTGCCATGTCCGAGGTTTATTGGGGAGTGAAATAAATCCTACAGGTAATAAAGTCTGTGGTTACAGTACGTTGCGTATAAAGCGCAACGTGGGGTAGCACAAATCTGCCAGAATCATTCCAATACCTTAGACAAAGTGAACATGAAATACGGCATAGCTTTGCAAGTAAGTTTCTCGAAATTTAGGAGTCAAATTTTCGCAGAAAGATTATAAATTTACTTTCTTAGGTTGCCCACCTGCTGGCCGGGGTGGCTTTGTTTAGCTCCAAGCTGGCCGAGGGGCAATGGACACGTTGTGAGGTTGGTCAGTCGAAAGTGGTAATTGATGCGTATGGGTTCCGCACCCTGTCATCCCCCGGGAATATGTTTGCCCAGTGCAGTTTCCTGATTAAAAAGGTGTTACATAATTTAGGAAACGTTCAAAATTTATGTGATGCGTGACGCCCTTAACTTTACCAAAGCTTAAAAATAATTTTACAATTTTGAAGTTTGAATTCTATATGAAGTAAAGTGTCTCCGATTCTGAGCAAATTTTATCCTTTGTCAGATTTCAATTTCGCTGGATATTGTTTTGTTGTAATTCATAGTGCATTTAGATAATTTGTAAAAAGTTCGCATTATTTTTAAGAGTGCATGACAGGACGACACATAATTTCTGAACGTTCCGAATTATTGGTACAAAAACAACTGAGCATAATATGTTAATTATTCTCGTTGGTCTTGTAGAACCCTGCCATTTGTCAGATACGCTTGGACTTCAGCAATTTTAAGTATATGTCAGCAAACGCAACCGGCAACTGTGAAGAGGACAAATTGACAATTAGTAACTCTGCCACGGTTAAAGATGGGTTTACCACTTGCGGCGATCTCACGGGACAACATAGTAAGTAATTATAGTAGTTATGTCTTATTTTCTCTCATTGAGCATAAATATTAAGGAAAGGAAAGTTTTCCTGAGTGTCCACGGTTTGGCGGAATTTTAGTAAACTAATGTGTAGTCAAAATCAAGATTTCTAAGACCTTGTGAACTTTCGAATTTTGAAAAATCGAGATGTATGTAGAATTTTATATTACGACAACATTTTGTGTTTGGGTGATAATAATTTAAAATCTGAGAAGATTTTTTTTCAAATTTTGCTAAAACGTGGACATTCACTCATAAAAACATAACTATGTGGGTTCCATAATTTTTAGGGTTTTATATAAAGTGAACTATCTTTTTCGGCAAAAGTCTAAAAAGCTTTGTTTGTTTCGGCCTCAACTTGTTAAAAGCTTCGGCTAAAACGTAGCCCTTACAAATATGGGTCCTCTTATTTTTGGGGTTTTACATATTTACGTAGAAGTGGACTATTGTAACAAAAGAATGTATTTCTACTTCCTTAACTGGTTAATTATGCTTGACCCTAGTGTACCTCACATTCGGCGAGGACTGTGACACGATTGAGGTCACTACAAAAATGTCGCCGATATCTCCCTCTAGCTCGTATAATATTCTCATGACACCAATTCCCTGCTCGTCTCCGGGCCTTGGTAATTTCTTAAAAAACTTACTTGAAATCTTCGAGATCCACCAAACGTTTCAAAATATGTATTATTTATACGTATAAGTTCCGAGTCACTGCCTTCAACATTTCAATGGTAGCCAGGGAGTCGTGAGATCGTTCGATTATCCCAACCAGCAGCAAAACAGTCAGGAGTACACGGTCTGCGTGGAGCCGAAGGGCGGTGGCGGGGAGGAAATCATTGTAACATTTTTTGCAAATTTGTTTTAAAGTTTGTACGTTCGTAATTTTCAAAAGTAATAATTTCGTTTCGCAGTGGAAGTCGTGCGGTTCTGAGGATGGGTACCCGAGTAGTTCACCCTTCAGCATCACGACAAATCCGGTCCCGCCAAAAATCTGTGACACAGATTGGGTCGCGATTAATGGGGACGTCCCGCGATGCGACAAGTTCCCGACAAGTGTTCGCTCTACCTGGAAACCATTCCTGCTCAATGTCAACTTTAACGAGGAGGAAATCCCACCTCCCCGATTCGGAGAAAATCTCGGAGATGTCGATGGTAATACATAAAAAAACTGATCTGATCCGACGGGTCGGATTTAAAAAAAAAACGCGAAAATACCGGTGTCTTCAACACCCCTATTAAAGAGTTTAAATTTCATTAGAGAATTTAAATTTCAGTCATTAATCAAAATTCCTCAGAAATTAAAAATTAAATTTATGACCCATTTTATTTTAGACGTTTACTCCTGCATTGGTGTTGGCGTAGCTTCCGGTGGGCTTCTTATGTGTGCGTGGTTTCCTGAAACTGGGCCTGGTGTTGAGGGCACTTGCCAATGTGACATAAATCCAATATTTTTCTCACCTGGGATCGATGTTAACGTTTTCTTTGGACCACCGCCGGACATGGGAAATACTGGATTTTGCTTGAAATATGATATGCAAATTTAGGAATAGAGATATGTATTCTTTGCGCACGCATAATTGTTTGACTTACAAGGTCAAGTTGCAAATAAACTAAAATTTGAATGAAATCTAGTATTTGACCAATTATTTTGGGAGTATGGACTTTGCTACGACTTGTTCATTAAGTCGTATGCGTGGCATAGTATGAAAATTATTTGGAGATTGTTTTTTTAGTATTTCTCCAGAAACTTTCCACCTTAATATTTATCACAAATTCGTTTCACTTCGGTCTTAGAGAGTTTAAGCTAATCATACAAAAAAATTGTGGAATTTGGAAAACTAAATCCACCCGAGACGGGCTTATATGCTAGTTTTTCATACAACTGAGAAGCTTTCCTTCGCAGTGACGATTCCCCCAACTGGAGTGTTCATCTTTTGATAAGATTTCCCTCTGAATGTCGGAGCGAAACTTTAATCGGCATCTTGCCGATCTTGCCGGGATGTAATCTCAGCCCACTCACCATAATCATCATTTACATGGATTAAGTGGGTGTCGGTAATATAAAGTCCAATTCTCTATTCCTGAAAAACAAAATTTATGGATGCACGATATACATATGTACTCGATGAGATCATAACTTTCGGCAAGGTCAAATTATGTAGCCTTGATATTATTAATGTGTAACAGTTATGTCGGCAAGTCATCCACGTTAGGGTTAACCAAGTGCCGGAAACTGTCAAATTAAGCTAATGAACCGAATTGACAAATTCTTTCACGCATACAAACAAATTTATTGTCTTAATCCTTTAAGAATGTACGAAGACCATATTTACAAATTCAATGAATTGTACCGACAAGCCGACAATTTGTATTTAAACCGTAACGAGTTCCTTACTTATTTTTTATTAGGTTGTGTTAATCCACGAATCGTGAACACAGACTCAATAAATTGTGTAATGAGATCATCCTTGCAGGGATGGAAGATAGTAAATATACATAAGTAATATAACATATGTATGTGCGTATTAAAAAATAATTAGCTGCATTATGTACGTGCAATAAATATTTCTTCACCGCCACTTATACCAAATAAGTAATTTTAGTATGACGAATAATTATGCAAAATAAATAATTTAGGCATGGCCGACGTTTATTAGGGAAATAAGCCTTATTAACCTAATAAAAATCTTTACCGCACATTTGTACGTATAAAGCGGACGCCGGGTAGCACAAATTTGCCAGAATCATTCCGGCACCGTCGACGCGAAGTGAACATGAAGCACGGCATACTTTTAGGCGTAAGTTCCCCAGAAATTTAGGAAACAATTTTCACACTTTCCGAATAAATTTATTATCTCAGGTTGCCCACCTCCTCACCGTGGTGGGTTTGTTTAGCCCCAAATTGGTCGAGGGGCAGCAGCCGATTCTGCGATGTGAATATGATCAGCCTAAGGTCACAGTTGACGCGTACGGCGGCAGCATTCTGACCTACTACTCATGGATGCCGTGCACTTTTGTGATTAAAAAGGTGCTAAATAATAGAGGGAACGTTCAAAAATTAAGTAACGTTTCACACCATCAACTTTGGCATTGCGTGACAGCACGTTACACAATTTTTGATTGTTCTAAAAAATTTCACGTGCGTTAACTATTCTTCTTGCTCTTGTATACAGAACCCTGCCATGTGCCAGATTTCATGTCTTTTAAGACGGCGTCAGCAAATACGTCCGGCAACTGTGAGGTGGACAAATTAACAATTAGTAACTCTGTCACGGTTAAAGATGGCTTCTCCACGTGCGGTGATCTCAGCGGACAGCATAGTAAATAAGTTTTTTATTTGTGTAATTTTTTAATCTTACATTTTGTGTATAAATATGGTAAAATACGGGAAAAAGAACCTTTCTTCGATGGGAGAACGTGACACACCAAAATGAAGGGTTTTTCATGCTGATCAAGAATATATAAAATATTTGAACGGAAAATGTATATTAACGACATAAGGAAAGGTCAAAGGTCAAAATGTTTTATTTCATGCGAGCAGTTAGGTTATACAAGGTACGCGGACAGCGTTACCATTTTAGCCAGCAAGCCTAGCTAGCTCCCCTAGCTAGTCGCTAGAAATCTCACATCACCCCAAAAATTTCCCGGCATGGGGGAAAGTGAGACAAAGTCTTCTCTGACGTTTTTTTGTGAGCTTAATATACGCTTGCCAGTCAAAATTTTATATATTCTTGACCTGTATGAAAAATCCCTCATTATGGTGTATCATATTACCCCATTTCAGAGGGTTCCTTCTGCCCCTATTGCAGAAGTACATGAGAAGTACATGAAAAACTGGCTGAGGATTCGTTATGGTTCCGAACAGATATCTGGTTGTAACTTGATTAACATTGAATCTGATATCTGGTCAATGTTAATCAAGTTACCATCAGATATCTGTTAGGAACCATAGGATTCGTCGACATACAATTGTCACGCCCGACTGTGCGAAATAAATTTCCCACCCTGTACTTAACAAGACGACACAAATTTCCCTCTTTCCACGTTCTGGGCCGGGCCGAATTTTAAAACAAATATTTTATACCACATATGTATCAGGATATTAATAGGGACAAGATTTCAAAAATTCGACGATTTTATTTTAATAATCACACGGTTTAATTCAGCTATATTGTAGTGTATCTCACATTTGATGAGGACTGTGATGACCTAGAGGTCGCTTATAAACCGTCTCCAACATCTCCCTCGGGCACATATCAAATGTTCGTAACACCAATTCCCTGCTCATCTCGGGATCTGGGTAATTTCTTCAAAAATATTTTCTCTTTAAAACATCACGAGCAACCAAGAGTTTCTAAACTTTACGTATTATTTATTTAAGTCCCGAGTCACTGCCTGCAACGTTTCAATGGTAGCCGTGGAGTTGTGAGATCGTTCGATTATCCCATCCAACAGCAAAACAGTCAGAAGTACACGGTTTGCGTGGAGCCGGAGGGCGGAGTTAAGGAAATCATTGCAACATTTTTTTATAAATTGAAAGAATAAAATTGGGAAACTTCGCGTATTTTAGAATGTGTAAATTTTTAATGCAGTGGAAACCTTGCGGTTCAGAGGATGGGTATCCGAGTAGTCCGCCCTTCAGTATCACCACAAATCTGGTCCCGCCAACCTCCTGTGACACGGATTGGGTCGCGATTAATGGGGACAGGCCACGATGCGACAAGTTCCCGAAAAAGGTCAGCTCTACTTGGAAACCGTTCCTGCTCAATGTCAACTTTAACGAGGAAGAAATCCCGCCATCCGGATTCGGAAAAAATCCTGGAGATGCTAATGGTAAATAATCTACATAGCGGTATCATAAGTCGGTAGTTTTGAATGAGTTTGTCAACGTATGGCACCATAACCGCTGCTGCATGCAGTTTTCCAATTGATTACTTTCGTAATCCCAATGATATCACTTTTGGATAACAATTTACGGATAATATGGGGATGCGGATTAGAGATTGAGAATTAAAATTCTACAAGATGGGATTAAAGATCTGCACTATGTCCCAATCTAATAAGGAATGATTAGATAATTAAGCGTGTATGTTCTACATATGCAGCTAAGATTGTGACGAAGAAAACTTGAGAATTTTAGTTACACCAATTATTAAAAATTATTCATTTCAGACGCATCCTCTTGCGCTGATGTGGGCCTAACTTCCAGCGGTATTCTCCTCTGTGAGTGGTCTGATGGCACTTGCCAATGTGACATAAATCCAGCACTTGTGATTCCGGGGATAGACCCAAGTGTTTCCTTTGGACCTTCGCCGGACGTCGAAAACCTTGGTTTCTGCTTGAAATATGATGTACAAATTTAGGGATTGGGGAGTGAATAGAGCCATGTTTTGCACAGAAGTACTTTAAGATATATAAAATTAAGCCGCAAATAAAATAAAATTTTGATGAAATGCGATATTTTACTATTTCCTTTGGGATCAAGTCTATGATTGGTCTTAGTATTTGGACAGATAAATAGTCGTTAATGCTCAAAATGTATTTTTAGAAATATTTGTACAAGGAACACATATGGAGAAATTGTTGTCCGGCACTCATAATAGAGGTCTACCAGGGTCCGCTCTCAGATTTGTATTAAGCTAGTGTCACATAACTACAAATTCAAATATCTTTCAAGGATAAGGTGTGGCAGAGATATTTGCATCCAAAGGCGAGGAAAAGCGCTCGAAAGTCGAAAAATTTTACATTATCCAAATTTAATACGCGTTTTACCCTCCTTGAATGCAAATATCTCCAGCACCACTGAGCATTTGCATATACCATTAATTATTCTTGCCATTGCCATGAATTTGAGATCCAAACGACGCTAGAGTAATCAAAATCGGAGACCATAGACGGGACGAACGACAGTTCATATGTACATATTGTTACATACTAACTGTCACTCAATTTTGTTCTGAGAAACTTTAAAAATCCATCCAATTTTAGTGAGCGCTTGGAAAATGTTGTGGTACGAAATAAAAGTGCGATATATCCTCCTAGACGTCCACAAGCACATCAAAAATATGAACGAACTGTCACCTGGAATTTTCCATCCTTGAAAATTACTTGTCACCCTTCACTAACAAAATGAACCATAGAAAACACGTATATAGACGTAGCTTCAGTCGCACTTCACCCCAGCTACGCCCACGACATCGCGGGAATACTTAATTTCACCAAATTTCATTAGCATATTCAATTAGAGTGAAAATCTCAGTTTGCCCCGAACACACCTTGGCGCCGGTATGGGTGGTCAGATTAAACACAAAAGTGGGTTAAATATAGGATAGTTTAATGAATTGGTATATGATCCACCCATGGGGTCACATGTATGATGCCGCAAACCAATCCCGATTATCTATTTCGTTCCGTTCTCGCGTTATCCTCCTAAAGGACAGACAGACAGACAAAGTCTTCGCATAAAGTAGCTGAAGCTACCAAATAAGTCGTTGTAATCGGATAAAGTGCTTTACATGTGTCACTCCTACATATTGATACCCATACTTTCTAAATTACGACAAGAATCCTTACATATTTACATAAGTACATATGTACATGTAAATACCTAAAAAAACCAGCCCAATATTTGATTCTCCCTTTTACTCATAACATCAAATTTACTTAGCCAGTCACAAAATTTGCATCGTCAGATTAATTTCGAAACTGGCAAAGTCCAAAGTCATGCCAGCCTTTTGCCATACCAGACTTTTTCTTCTCCCCACCTTGACCTTTATAATGACATCAACTCAAGGTGACGTCGCACCAAGTCATCTCACCTCCGTCCTTCCAATCTTTTCACATTGTAATCTCGTCATTACATTCAGCACAAATTTAACCACCGATTTTATTCCCCTTCATCCTCTACTAATTCACGTTGAAAATTTTCTAATCCAACCTGAATACAAACAGTCTTATACATTTCTCTTCGCAAACATGTCATTCACTCGTCGTCGACGAGTTCCAAAGTTTTGTTGGACATACATCTTTCCTGAAATGGGGGTCAAATTTTCCCTGTCCAATTTGCTATATTCCCCAATATTTCCACCTGTTAGTGGTTCTGCTTATTCCATACAAATTATTTGGCTCGCATTATCCGATCAAAACACAGCTTTCGAAATACAGACCATCTATGCAAAAATGCTCCAATCAGACATTAAGTCTTTGGGAAGTCGAGAATTTTACTTTGCTCAACAAGGTTTGAAAGATACTTTGCGGTTTTACCACTTCAATATGTACTATCCTCGAGGATGCACATCACAAAATTTCAAGTTGTTGCCAAACTTCGAATTTTTTTCATATATCCAGTGCAACCAAAAAAATCAAATGGAATGCTTTTACTACATTGAAGACGCAGCGGACAAGGTAGGCACTACCTACAACAAATACGCTTGGGTTTTTATAAGTTGGCTGGATTTTCAAGAAATGGAATACATTTTCGACCAAACATTTATCAAAATGCAAAATAAATACTTTTGTCTAAAACAGAACAACCCGGATTGGATTGAAGTAGCAAATCAATCGGTATCGCTAAACGATTTTATTACATACACTATTCTCTCAGGAGGAGAGTACGCCAACCTGATAATGACAGATCTTGATGTCCTTTGGATATATGGTAGTACCCCCTCTGAAAGTAAAAAGTGTGAAGCGGTTTGATGCCATGGCCCAATTTACGCCCGTCACACCCCTTTGAAGGCGCGCCCGATGCCAAACTAGCTGCACTAAAAAATTCGCCAAAAATCCAATTTTCTTCGGATTTTCATAATAGTTACATATTTATGATCCCAAATAGTTGCTTTGTCATATCAGATATCAATCTGAACTATTTTGGAATTTTGAATTTTTTCAAGCCATGCCCTTTTCAGGAAATATTCGAAAATATTGAAAATTTCTGAAAAGTTAATTTTGCAACTGAATATGATAAAGGGACTATCTGGGATCACAAATATATAATTATTATGAAAATCCGAACAAAATTGGATTTTTGGCGAATTTTTTAGTGCAGCTAGTTTGGCATCGGGCGCGCCTTCAAAGGGGTGTGACGGGCGTAAATTGGGCCATGGCATCAAACCGCTTCACACTTTTTACTTTCAGAGGGGGTACTACCATATATCCAAAGGACATCAAGATCTGTCATTATCAGGTTGGCGTACTCTCCTCCTCAGATTGGCTGTATAATATGTCATTTCCGATGAAAGTGTATGGAAAAAGCAAGTATTTCTTCTTTGGAAAAGGACGAACGCTATATAATTCCGGAAATCATCAAATCGTACTTATTGGAAGTCAGTCTTACAGTTTTTTGTCCTGCTATGGAATTCAAAAAGATAACTCGTACAAAGCTTTCAGCGACCCTTTCGACAGATACATTTGGTTCTTTATTATTACCGTGGTGTTGATATTTACTGTGATAAGAGCTCTGATAGCCTCGCCGACATAAACTCTGGATCTGAGTTTCCTTTCGGTAGCTGTAGCACTAGAAATATCAATTTCCTCAAATATTTCGCGCCTTGTTCCCATTCAACTTAAATACGTTTTTTGGATTTGGGTATTTTGTGCTATGATATTGACTGCCTTCTACAAAACTATCATCACAGCAGAAGTGATTCTCCCGTACAAAAGGAACCCATCATGGACACATATTTATGACCTCCAAGATCAAGAATCTCTATTTTTCTTCCCTGCAAACCCGGATGCGAGCTTATTTTACGACTTGTATGCCAAAGGAAGTCCAATTGACACCTTTTTTGCTTTCGATTTCTCTGAGGATACCGTGACAGCAGCAAATTACGAAGGTGACTTTGCACGCTTGTTGGGATACAAAAGATTCGCCGAAGCTTTATTAGCAAGTGAACCTAAATCTTACAAGGAAGCTTCGTCCGCTTGCAAAAATAAAACACGCATCTGGCGCGAGTTTCATTACAAGTGGCCTTTTGACATATATCCGAACTTATCTCGATGTGCTGATAAATTGGTATATTTAGACAAAAAGGAAAACATTAAGGACATAATTCCCTTTTTGAATGATAATTTGGATGGGACCGTTTTCATGGAGGGAACCGATGATAATCTGTTTCTCACATGGTATTCAATACAAATTTATTCAACACCAAGGAGAAATTTTGTACTTGACAGGGTAAAATTTCTCATGGTTTCGGGAATATATAAGTGGTGGGAGAAGTGGTTTAGCAGGATAAGACCAAAGAAGCTATTTCCTTATTATGCTAATTGGACGAGACCGAAAGTTGGGACGTTGGAAAAGTTGGATTTTACTTCAAGAGTTGTCACGACCTTAAAAATTTGGGGAATTTGTTGCGGATTATGTGCTGTGGTGGGGATGGTGGAAATTTCTTATGAGCAAGTGCGTTATTTACGACGCGTCGTTGTACAATATGCATTATTAATTATAGCTGAAAACAAATGATATTTATTATTGACTTCTAACAAAGATCTAATAAAAATGGTTACAAATTTTGTTCTGCTGAGGGTGATCCTCTCTAAAATCGATAGACTCGATTAACTCATAACCATCGGTAATGTCAAATTATGCAACCTTAACTTTATGTTTGATAGATATAATAAATTTCTGCGTCTGGAAGTAATCCACATCGGGGATAATCACGTGCCAGAAGCTATGGCAAATTATGATCATTAAAGGAATAAAAATTCCTTCATACATACAAACAACTTTATGATCTTAATCATTCGAACGTGTTGATATGTATGCACGACCTTGTTGATAGATTCAATGAATGTTACCGACAAGCCGGCAATTTGCATTTAAATAATAACGAGTTACGGACTAATTTTTATTAGATCGTGTTAAGCCACGAATCCTGAACATGGAGTAAATGAATTGTGAAATGGAATCATCTTTGTCGGGATCAAGGATTATGTACATAGTTACATAATATAGGTACATAAATATGTAAGTACATAAGCAATATAACATTTTCTGTTCAAAATAATTAGTTGCATTTGGTGCAATAAATATTTGTTCATCGCTACTTATAACATGTATAAATTATTTTATTATGCCAAGTAAACTATTAGGCTTGGCCGATGTTTATTAGGGATATAAGCCGCTCAGCCAATAAAATTTTACCGTACTTTGTTTATGTACATATAAATGGGACATCAGGTAGCACTAATTTGTCAGAATCATTCCGATACCGTCGACGCGAATAGAACATGAAGTTCGGCCTACCAGTACGCGTAAGTTTCTCAGAAATTTAATAGGGCATTTTAACTATTTCCTGACAAATATTTTCCCAGGTTGTCCACCTCCTCCTGGCAGGGATGGGTTTGTTTAGCCCCAAATTGGTTCAGGGGCATGGGGAGAGCCTGAAATGTGAGAATGGTCAATCTAGGGTCATAGTTGACACGCATGGCCCCAGCATGCTGAGCTACGACTCGTGGACACCGTGCGCTTTCCAGATCGAAAAGGTGTAAATTAAATATATGTACAATCAAGGGAACCTCCAAAAATTATGTAACGTGTCACTTACGCAACTTTAGCGTGACACCCTTCTTGAATTTTTTCGACTTATCAGCACATATCCGCTAATTGCTTTCGTTGGTCTTCTAGAACCCGGCCGTTTGTCAGATACGTTTAGATTTCATGTCTTTTAAGACGTCGTCAGCAAATACGTTCGGCTACTGCGAGGAGGACAGACTGGTCATTTTTAACTCTGCCACGGTCAGAGACGGCTTCACCACTTGCGGTGATCTCACTGGACAGCATAGTACGTAAATAAATTATGCAAGTTTTTACATTTTGCGCATGCATATTAATGACAATTGTACACAAACAAACTGGCTTCATGCGTCAACATAAAACGGTCGCGCCCGATTTTGACTTCACGTAATAAAATATGGAGACAAATAGGTTTGCGATTGCCACGTTACGGCCGTGGTGGAATTTTTAAAAACATTTTAAGCCTTAAATCAGTAATATTTCAATACACTGTAGCTTTACTAGTCGATACAACACATCAAAACTTCGACAATCAATTAGATAACCTAAGAATATAAATTAATATAAAAGCATACTTATCACGAATGAGCAGCTTAAGGTTGTAAAAGTGGATGATTTAAATGCCAAACTTCGCATTCACAAGCAACACATTGGTATCGCAATTAAGTGTACACATTATTCTCGCTTGACAATTAAATTTTAAATGATAAACGGTCTAATTTGACTTTGCCATAGTATACCTGACATTTTGTGAGGACTGTTCCAATACAGACTTCGCGTTTATACCGTCGCCAACATCTCCCATTGGCTCCTTTCTTCTTAGGGTAACACCAATTGCCTGCTCGTCTCCGGAAATTGGTAATTGCTTAACAAATGTGAAGCTTGTCTTTACGATATTGAGATTAAATAAACGATTTTCCCTATTTAAAATTACGTCCGTAAGTTCCCTCCCATTGCCTCCAACATTTCAATGATACCCGGGGAGTAGTGAGATCGTTCGATTACCCCACCCAACAACAAAACAGTCATCAGTACACGGTCTGCGTGGGGCTAAAGGGCGATGGCGGGAACAATATCCTTGTAACAATTTTTTTTGAAATGGCCTCGATTTAGTTTAGAAAATTCAGGAGTACTAGAATAAATTAATACATTTTAGTGGACGCCATGCAGTCCGGAGGATGGGTTTCCAGATAGTTCGCCCTTCAACATCGTTACGATCCCGCGACAAACCTGTGACACAGATTGGGTCGCCATTAATGGTGACCAGCGGCGTTGTGATAAGTTCCCGATGGGTGTCGGGTCTATCTGGAAACCATTCCTGATCAATGTCAACTTCAACCAGGAGGAAATTTGGCCTCTCCCACTCGGAGGTGGATATGCCAGTGGTAAGTAATAGCGGTGTCAATAATCTGTAGAATTTGGATGAGTTTGCGCCATGTTTTTAATTAACCGCGGCTTCATCCATTTTTGCAGCTATTTTAACAAGACATATATAACAATGCGAACCTTATGCCGGGAAATATCTAATTTAAAATGATCCATTCTAGATGCTTCGTCTTGTACTGCAATGGCCGAGCCTTCGGGTGGTTTATTTATCTGCGACTGGTTTTCTGAACCGAGCCCTGGTACTGGTGGCAGTTGCCAGTGTGACCTAAATCCAACCTATATCGTTCCTGGAGTTGATCCAAGTATTATCTTGGGACCACCGCCTGATTTCGGAAATACTGGTTTTTGTTTGAAATATTATGTGCAAATATAAGAAATCAGTAGAGGCATTTTTGCGCAGAAACGACTTAGGTCATTAACAAAATAGAATTTGACCTTCTTTAATCTTCATGGGCAGTTAGTGACCTCCAAAAGGATAGGAATTAATGAATATTTATTAAAAATAAATTTGTGTGAAATACGAAATTTGACTATTTTAGTAATTTTTGTCCATAAAGTGTAATGCTAACATTTACTACACTCCATTGTTGTTTATTAGACCTCTTACGGACCAAACTCTTGACCTAAACGTCATACAGGTTGCCTGTGTGCTATACTTTGAGTCTACTCAACAAGAAGTTGGTGTTTGTGTACTTATGGATCTAAAATTGTGAAGTGGAGAGCTTCAGCATTTACATCAATCATTTACAAGGGATACGGGTTACTTGTCGAATCCTATGTCGTCGAAATCAACTTGTCGAATGAAAAACTCGTCAGAAAGGCAAGTCGTCGAATTTAGGCATGAAACTCGTCGAATTTCATGTAACATGTTTACTGATTTTACCTATATAATGAGTTCACACGTATGCACAATACATGTGCATCGTGGGACGAATATACGCTGCGGACATTCCAAAATACTTAAAACACTATGCAGCAGTAATTGAGAGGATTGTTTTGTTCTTTTTACCCTTATATTTTACATTAAAAATGTCAAATTACTGTTACGAACTAATGTAACGCAGCAAAGAGAAACTTAAATTTGAAGATAAGCTGTTCTGATGGATTTTAAACAAAGAACAGGTCCAGGGATTATGTATCACATATCAGAAAGTTTGTCAAATTATGATAATTAAAATTGTTTTATACACACTTTATGATCTTAATCCTTCTGACGTGGTAAAGAATAACCTTGGCTGTGAATAAATTAATGCTACCGAAAAGCCGATACTTTACATTCTATGATAACGAGTTATATACTCATCAACTTATACATACGTATATTTGATATGCATTAAGTTATTAATTAACGCGTGCTAAGCCACGAATCGGACACGGACTCAGTAAATAATTGCCTAATGAAATACGCAATGTTTGTCGGGCTGAAGGTTAGCATAAATTATTTATAACACTTAATGCAACATTTACCCTCAGAAGTAATTACCTGCAATAAATATTTATTCACTCGAGCTTATGACAATTTGGTTTGCCCGAAGTTTATTGTGGGAATAAGCCCTCAAGGTAATAAAACGGTTACGGTAAATGGGTATAAAATGGATGTCGGGTAGCGCTAATTTGTCAGAATAACTTACATTCCGTCTAAGACAAGTGAACATGAAGTACAGTCTAGCCTTACAGGTAAACTGCCCAGAAATTTAAGAGTCAATTTGGGTTGCAAAATAATAAATTCTAAATTATTATGTTAGGTTGCCTACCTCCTGGCCGGGGTTGATCTCTTAAGCCCCAGATTGGTAGTGGGGGAGGCGTGGGAGAATGAAAAATATTGTGAGAATGGCCAGTCTAAGGTCATAATTGACACCGATGGGCCTAGTACTCTGACCTTTGACTTGAATAGGCAGGCGTCGTGCACCTTCCAAATTAAAAAGGTATTGCATACCTAACTGCCGCAGTGATAAATTATGCAATGTGTCACGTCTCCCTCAAATTATGCCCTGTACAACATGACGTTACATAATTTGTGAAGCTTCCGACTTAAAAATAAAAAAATGTAAAAATATGTAATGTTATCCTTCTAAAGAGTAAATGCACTCTAAAGTGCATACATAAAGTAAACTACACTAATTCGAGAGTAAACTTAGCTTGATAAAAAGTAAGGTTGACTTATACTAAAAATAAAATTGAGGATGCATTCATTTTTTAGGGGGTAAGATGATTTTTAAGGGTGTAGTAAAATACTTTACATATTTACGCTAACTATGTGTTCACTTTGGTGTTGCAGAACCCTGGAATTTGTCAGATACGCTTGGGATTCGACTTTTTTAGGTCAACATCAGCTAATTTATCTGGCATCTGTGGAGAAGACAGGTTGACAATTAGCAACTCTGTCACGGTTAAGGACGGGTTTTCCACTTGCGGCGATCTTTCGGGGCAACATAGTAAGCAAATAATTTCCTGAGGACAATGAGAACGTGGTTGGCAGAGATTTCCACCGGAATAATGTTAAACTATCTATGCAAAGAAATAAGCGGACACATGTTCGTGGGTTATCTTGATTACAAATGTTTTCGCTTTTAGAGTAATTTTGAAATAAATTTTCCGCCAAAATCAGGATCTTTCAAGCTGTAACCCTTGGAACACTGATGCAAATGTGACATCAGCATTTCAAAGGTCAAGGGATTCAAACTACATAGATTTAGTTTTCATGAGTATCTCGTCTCTCATGTGTGTCCAAACCATATTGTGTGCAGGAGGAGATCATGAAGGGGAAGAGAGGATAGGAATGAGGAGCACAGAATGATGCCTACGTCATCATGATCATGAGGGCGTAGTTTATATATATGTAGCGTAAGTAAAGGTAATGATCAAGAAGGCGTGGCTTGTGTGATCACGTATATATAGAGTAAGCAGAGAGAAGAAAAGAAGAGTGTAGTTTTAGATTCAGGATCAGCAGGTTTAGTTTTTAGTGATCATCAAGATCAAGTTCAAGGTGTTTAGATCTTCGAAAACTTAACAATAAGTTCCCGTCTAGATTAGTAGTTAAAATTAAAATAATAGCATTAGCTCTCCCACGTATTAATAATACGAGCATTTCTGTAAAGTCAATATTTTTCAGTCGGTATTGATGTAAATAAATTTATTCATAATTCTTATAAAAAAGTGAGTTTCTACTACAAATTTCTTGCACAACATCACAAAGAAAAGGGGCATCCGCGAAAGTGGATGTGAATCAGGACACGCAATCCCATAATAGAACAGGGAGCGTTACAAAGCTCTCTTAATTTTCAAATTTTAATCGGCCAATCTTAAAAATGTAAACAAGTTTCCTATGAATTAGTTATTTGGAAGGATAAAAATTCGTTTCCAAAAACTTGCAAAAACTTTATTATCTTGCTGAATTTAAAAAAAAACGCAAAAAAACCTTAAATTTTTTAACATTAAAAGTTCTTGTATACTTTTTTTTAATTAGTAAATTTTGAGATTTATTTTTTAGTACGTAGTTGAATTCATTTAAATACTACTTTATTTATTTACTACTTTATTGTAGTATCGAGTTCAACTAAGAATTAACATGGTCTTGAAAAATCCTCATTTTTAATGAAAATTTATTAACAATTTCTTGTTTCATACTTATTCGAAAATGGAATTTTAGGGCCACGAATAGCCCGCTATTTTTTTCTTACGTTACCTGTAACAAAATTGTACCCGGGTAGCTACATATATGTAAAGCCGTTTAATTTTGCTTTACTATAGTGTTCCTCACATTCGATGCGGATCGTGACACGATTGACCTCAATTACAGATTGTCAGTAATATTTCCTTATCGCTCGTTTCGAATTCTGTTGACCCCAATTCACTGTTCGTCCTCAGAGAGTGGTAATTTCGTAAAAATATATTTTGTCTTTAAGGTACATACTTATCGTGGCCCACCAAACTTTTCTGTTATGTTTTTAAGTTCCGAATCACTGTCTGCAAAGTTTCAATGGTACCCGGGGGATTGTGAGATCATTCGATTATCCCATCCGAAGGCAAACCGGTCAGGAGTACACGGTCTGCGTAGAACCGGAGGGTGGCGGGAAGCAAATCGTTGTAATACATTTTTTTGCAAATTTAACCTTTTGTGAGAGTAGGTTGGGAAGTTACGTTTAATATTTTTAAACTTTATAATTTCAGTGGAGGCCGTGCGGTCCGAGGGATGGGTTTCAAAGTAATTCGCCCTTCAGCATCACTTCGGTCCCGTCACAAACCTGTGAATGCGACAAAGTTTGGGTCGGCGTTAATGGAGATGCTCCGCGATGTGACAAATTCCCAGAGTATGTCCGCTCTATCTGGAAACCATTCCTGCTCAATGTCAACTTCAACGAGGAAGAAATCCCGCCTCCAGAATTTCCCGAAGAAAACCCTGGAGATGATAATGACGAGGGTACGTAAAAGCGGTGTAATAAACCGGTTTTTAGGAGTGAGGTTGCCAAGAAGTGTCATATTTTCAATGCATATATACAAATGTACATACATAACATACATACATGCATATATGCATGTATACATACATGCATAACCGCAGCTCCATCCAGTTTTGTACTGAATTATTAGTTTATATATAATCTTTATTGCATATATAGCCAATAGCTCTTGCAAGTCACAATCATCATTTCAAGATAGGTACATTTTAGTCAAATTTTAGTTTAGAATAATTGTGATAGTAGTGAGGGGAGTAGAGGGAAAACCAGGCTATGGTGGCCAGTCTGGAAAACCTCTACCTGAACTGGGAAGGTTGCCCAGTTCACCATTCGGCCCTGACTACCTGTAAACCCAGGTTCGACCAGTGAATGACAGAGATTATAAGCGATTTGCATATCGGAAAATGGTGACATCCAAATGAGTAGGCGCCGTGCCGGCAGGGACACGACGGGTATTAGGCTGGAGTGGAGCATTCATGGACCACAAACTAACCAAGGACCCATTTCAGGGTTCGGCCTAAGTGACCCCGTAAAGGGGCCATGATACACCCCACAAACTAACCCCTCCCACCGCAGCACACGACCAGGTCATGGGAACCTAGTAGACCTACCCCAGCCGCCCCCGCCAGCACTGCGCACACTCACTCTTCCGTCAACCACCCCCACATGCTCACCACCCCAACATATCAAACAAAGGTCTCACCTGGGGGAGTCCTCCATGACGTAGATCCTCCCGTGCACAGAGTCCGGTGAATCCATCTTCGCCCGATGGCTCAGCTTGTCGTTGCTGGGACGGGTGGCAGGGGGTGTCACCAGGCACGCAGGTGGGGGGTGTGAGTGGACGAGGCTCACGTGGCGTAGAGGCCTTGGGACACACTTCACTTGCCCTGGCACACCCGCGACCCAGATGGAAGAGAGAAAATCCAGATGCAGAGCGAGAGAGAGATACGTGTTGCACGAGAGGAAGTCAAAGAGGAACCCGAATTATTAGTTTAAGATTAT